TATCCATAGTAGAATTTTTGGATTCCCCTTATTGGGATTCACCAGATTGATATTTGTCATTTATTATATATTCAATATTTATGGCTATACTTATGGTACAATTTTTGGATACACCTCCCCATGGAAGTGTTCACCTATGTGCTTGCGCTGCAGAGGTATTAGATCATTCTTTCTGTTGCACATGCATTTAGAACCGGTCTTGATGTCATTTTATATGGTTTTAGGTCTGTGTGTTATTGTCTCATACTGAGGTGATGGTAAACCAGGGCATATGCCCATATGTCATATCTATATATGTGTAATAAAGCATAATTTTTGGAAATTTTCTGAGTGTCACGTTCTATTCATTATGTAGCCGCTTTTCTGTGAATCTCTTTTCACAAACCCCTCTTTTTTGAATGCCTTTTTTGGCTACTGAATAGAAACCGAATATTGGGTGACATGATAACTTAACTGATAACCTCTTAACAATTACCTTTAGTATATGGGTCGTCTTATATACGCCCAGTCGTCTTATACGCCGGCAAATACGGTATATATATGTAAAGCGCTGCGTAAATTGATGGCGCTATATAGTACCTGAAATTAAAAAATAATAATAATAAAATATACACTCACTGGTCACTTTATTAGGTACACATGTTCAATTGCTTGGTAACACAAATTGCTAATCAGCCAATCACATGGCAGCAACTCAATGCATTTAGGCATCTAGACGTGGTGAAGACGACTTGCTGAAGTTCAACCCGAGCATCAGAATGGGGAAAAAAATGGGATTTAAGTGACTCTGACCGTGGCATGGTTGTTGATGCCAGATAGGCTGGTCTGAGTATTTCAAAAACTGCTGATCTACTGGGATTTTCACACACATTCATCTCTAGGGTTTACAGACAAAGGTCCAAAAAAGAGAAACTATGCAGAGAGCGGCAATTGTGTAGACAAAAATGCCTTGTTGATGTCAGAGGAGAATGGGCAGACTGGTTGCTGTGACATTCAGATGGCAGGGTCAGAATTTGGTGTACATAATATGAAAGCATGGATCCATCCTGCCTTGTATTAACGGTCCAGGCTGGTGGTGTAATGGTGGGGGGGGGGGGGGGGGATTTTCTTGGCACTAGCAAGGTGTACCTAATGCAGTGACCAGTAAGTGTATATATACAGTATATGCAATCTGTATCTTGTCTTGGTATTTTTTAACACTGCAAACCCGTTTTCTTAGTTTTTAATTAATTAATAATCATGGCACTGTTGAAAACAAATAATGGTGTAAATATTGTGGTTGCTGCAGCTGTTTCTTCTGATTTATTTCTTGTTTTTTTCGGTACGTCAAAAGAACCACAGTGTGTACACATTCAAAGAAACACTGGTAATACTATATTTTGTCCGCAAGATGTCAGCATAGGTAACATTCATTTTCTTGCAGAAGTCACTTCAGGAATGCTGTCATATGTGTAATACATGGGGGGATTTATTACAACCGGAGAACACACAATCCGGTGCATATTGCATAGCATCCAATCCGCTTCCAACCTCAGCTTGTTCAATTAAGATTTGACAATAAAACCTAGAAGTGGATTGGTCACTATGCAGAGCTATGCATCACTGTGTTGGTGGCACCTGGTGCAGTGACACATGGTGCCACCCCCCCCCCCCAATTACCCCCATAATCTCACATTGCATATGCCCCCTGCTCCCCCCTCCCCCAGGAGATGCTTTCAGCTCTCCGCTGGCCACCATCACTCCATCCAGCTGCAACTACTACACAACTTCCCAGACCAGGACAAGCCGGAAGTACCAGGACAACCGGGGAGCGCACACAATGTGATGACGTCACAACGTCCGGGACGAGGAGTGAGCTGGACTTGTCCTGCAATAGACAGCAGGGAGGTAGGGTGGACAGAGATACATACGGGAACACATATACACATACAAGGAGTCCCTAACACATATATACCTACTTGATGGTGCCACCCCTCTGGTGGTTGTGTCACCCGGGCACGGTCCACCCTCCCATAGCGATGCCACTGATGCAGAGCTGCACTAGATTCTTTTTGCATCAGTTTTAGTAAACCTCCCCCATTGCATGCAAATTATATCATTGCCATGTCTTTTTAATGTTATAGACCACCTGTAACACAAAGCACTACATTACAAGGTGTAGAGTGAACTAAACTACACAAATAATAAGATTTCAGTCTAGAGAGGACACTTTTTTGGAATAAGTTTTTAGTCTTAGTAGTATTAAAGTCTGAAGTTTTTGTCCTAAATACACAGATGCAGAACAGTAGACAATAATAAACTGTTGTCCGGGAGCATGTACTCAGCACATCCTTGAAAGTCTCTCTAACCTCATGGCTAGAGATGAGCGAAGTATTCAAAAATTCGATTCGGCGAATTTCAGGAAGAAATTCGATTCGATGCGAATTTATTCGCTACGAAGATAACTTATAAAAAGGGTTTCTAGGCTTCAGAGAGCCTTTAAATTAGTGCAGAACACTGTACCTTTAATTTAAATGCCCTTGGAGATGAGGAAGGAGAAGGAGAAGGAGAAGGATGAGAAGAAGGAGAAGGAGAAGGATGAGAAGAAGGAGAAGGATGAGAAGAAGGAGAAGGATGAGAAGAAGGAGAAGGAGAAGGAGAAGGAGAAGGATGAGAAGAAGGAGAAGGAGAAGGATGAGAAGATGGAGAAGGAGAAGGATGAGAAGAAGGAGAAGGATGAGAAGAAGGAGAAGGAGAAGGATGAGAAGAAGGAGAAGGAGAAGGATGAGAAGAAGGAGAAGGAGAAGGATGAGAAGAAGGAGAAGGATGAGAAGAAGGAGAAGGAGAAGGATGAGAAGAAGGAGAAGGATGAGAAGAAGGAGAAGGATGAGAAGAAGGAGAAGGATGAGAAGAAGGAGAAGGAGAAGGATGAGAAGAAGGAGAAGGATGAGAAGAAGGAGAAGGATGAGAAGAAGGATGAGAAGAAGGAGAAGGATGAGAAGAAGGATAAGAAGAAGGAGAAGGATGAGAAGAAGGATGAGAAGAAGGAGAAGGATGAGAAGAAGGATGAGAAGAAGGAGAAGGATGAGAAGAAGGATGAGAAGAAGGAGAAGGATGAGAAGAAGGATGAGAAGAAGGAGAAGGATGAGAAGAAGGAGAAGGATGAGAAGAAGGATGAGAAGAAGAAGGAGAAGGATGGGAAGAAGGATGAGAAGCAGGAGAAGGATGAGAAGAAGGAGAAGGATGAGAAGAAGGAGAAGGATGAGAAGAAGGAGAAGGATGAGAAGAAGGATGAGAAGGATGAGAAGAAGGATGAGAAGAAGGAGAAGGATGAGAAGAAGGAGAAGGATGAGAAGAAGGATGAGAAGAAGGAGAAGGATGAGAAGAAGGAGAAGGATGAGAAGAAGGATGAGAAGAAGGAGAAGGATGAGAAGAAGGATGAGAAGAAGGAGAAGGATGAGAAGAAGGAGAAGGAGAAGGATGAGAAGAAGGAGAAGGATGAGAAGAAGGAGAAGGATGAGAAGAAGGATGAGAGAAGAAGGAGAAGGATGAGAAGAAGGACAGTTCTGTGACCCGGCAAAAAGTGTATCTGCGAGCTCCTCTAAGTGTATCTGCAGAATAGAGGAGCTCTGCAGATACACTTTTTGCCGGCTTGGAATTATTCTTATTTTCATCCTACTCCTACTTCTTCTTCTTCTTCTTCTTCTCCTCAGAAGAAGAAGAAGAGGATGAGAGATGAAGAGAAGAAGAAGAAGAAGAAGAAGTAGGATGAAAATAAGATTAATTCCAAGCCGGCAAAAAGTGTATCTGCAGAGCTCCTTCAACCGCTGTACATGTGAAGGAACTGTCAGAGAAATGTCAGAAATAGCGGAGCTCTCTGCAGGGACACTTTTGCCGGCTGATCGGGAAAAATTCGATTCGCGCACCCGAAGTAGGCAAAATTTCGGATTTGACGCGAATCGAATTTTTCCTGAAATTCGTATCGAATTCCGGTTCGCCTGGTTCGATTCGCTCATCTCTACTCATGGCTCCATGTTCCATGATGTGAAGCACCACTGCACATGGCAATCTGCCTGGCTGCCTGTGTGTGGGGGGCCATTGCACATGTGCACCTTGTCCTGCCTGCCTCTGTTGGTATCACTGGGTGTCACCACAGGACCTTGCTGAGGTAAGGTGATGCCCAACAACAGGACAGACAGGGCATCAAAACTGGAAAAATAGGACCACCTGAGCAGAAGGATGAGAAAGCTTTGAAGAAAGACAAACGGATTATGATGTAAGTCTCAAACTTTGCTGCAGGAAATTTTTTAAAAACTAACATTTGATATCACTTTATCAAAAAATCCCAATAGACTGTAGTGAAAAGGATGAAATTATTTCACAAGGAATACCGTGGAAAGTGAACCCCCACAACCACCACCCACCTTTCTACAGTTTTCCTATAATTCGTTTCCCCCACTCCTCTTAGCTCTGCCCACTAAAATATGCACAAGTGCCCCCAGAGGAAGCTGCTTACACAGGTCTCTCTCGTCAGTGATGCTCGGTGATCGCTGGGTGCTGGCGGGAAAATCTCTGGTTAGGACCCGGTGATCAATGGCAGCGCAGGTAGGGTGGCGTGCGTGTGCGCCCCCTATCTGGAAATTCAAATCACGTGATTTTGCGCAGCCCTGCGCCCTATAACAGTAGTTCTGCAATAGTGTGGTTGGGAAGCTGTTAAAGACAAAAAAAACAAGAACCTTTAGAACCACTTTAAAAAGTAATAAACTTTTCAGCCACTAGATGCCAGCAGCGTTTATACCTGTGCAAAGCAGCAGCAAAACACATCCTGCTATCAGTAATATGGTACAGTGTATCACCCAGTACTTTTTTTGATGAAAAGCAATGGAGTGGTTTACAGAAAGTGGACCTTAGCAATCAGAAACATATCCCCTACCCTTTCATATTTACACACATAATTCCGCAGTGTACAATATTACTTGCTGTAATTGATCAAGGTCGGATGAGCCGAACTGTGTGGAGAGAATGGGGGAGTAGTTTCAAACACCGTGTCGCCCTGGTTTTTTTCCAGAATTTTAAAGTCTGTACCAGAAACAGTAAAATTTAAATGTAAAGTCTGTGCTAGATATTCATAGAAGGTGACACAGTTGACAATGCACAGCCCATCTTAAAGTGGAACCACACTGTATCTGAGCACTACAAACCAAAAGCTCTATGAAAGTCATTTTTAACATTGACTTTATGACCTCTATCAGTGTCCAGGCAAGCACCAGTTAAAGCTTGTAGGAGAAGTTTTCATATTGCTCTAGGAGGATTCAGAACCCTTGACGTCTGTCTGGACAGTGTTGTTTGGCCCTGTGCTGATCACGTGCGCTCTCCCAAGAAAAAAAAAAAAAACCTCTCTAGCAATATACACCAAACTGAGCATGTGCAGAGTGACTCCACACGATATGTCTTATCAGGAGATAAGAGGGGGACACTGGAAGAAGGGGATGATCAGAGAAGTCAAGATCAAAACAGAATTTTTACACAATGCAGAGGATTTAACTCCTTAGGTTCCACAGTGAGTATAAAAAGCATGCTTTACTGCATATACAGACTGATTTTACTGTTGTGTGCGCAGGGGCAGACTGACCATTCAATGCAATGCCCGAGGACCCGGAGTCAGTAGGGGTCCCATGAGAACACTCATATTTGGAAAGGTAAATTAAAGCACATCTGAAGTCCAATAGAGATACATTCAGGAGCGGCTGGCATCTGCTACGGGTCAGGGCATCCAACTCCTAGGTCCAGAAGCCAGCCAACAGATGGAGTGGGACCGCAAGGATGCTGTGTACTGCGGTGGAACGCAGATGGAGCGTATCTCTATTGGACTTCAGATGTGCTTTATTCCACCCTTCACAATGCCAGTGTTCATTTACACCATAATTTCCCCCCTCCCTCACACCCCCTCTCTCTCCCTCTCTCTCATCCACCCCTTTTATCACCCCTGTCCTCTCATGCCCCCCTCTCTCTCACCCCCCCTTTTTTTCAACCACCACACCTCACCTCTCTCTTTCCCCCAACCTCTTTCTCTCTCTCTCTCCCTCTCTCTCGTCCCCCTTCCTTCTCTCTCTCTCCCCCCCCCCCCTCCTCTTTCTCCCTTTCTTCTCTCCCCTTCCTCCTTACCACTACTTTCCCATCTCCTTATCTCTCTCCCTTCTATTCCTATCTCCCCTCCCCCTCCTTCCTCTCTCCCCTCCTGTCTCTATCCTTCCACCCCCTCTTCCCCTCTTAGTTTCTAATAGGAGTCTCTGACATATTTCAGGTTCGCAGTAGAAAACATACTCTATCCTTAGATTTTCCAACGTTTTCTCAGTGTTAAAAAAAAAGTTTGGGGGGGGTGGCAACTCCCCACATAATTTCCTGCTCATTCAGCCTGATCTAAAAGCATCAATTAAACAAGCTTCACATTCATATGCTGGGTCTGAGGGGTTATCCTTAAGGAAACTTGAGGATTTCTTGTGGCATGAGGACAAGATCTTTGTTCCCCAAGAAGTCAGGCCACAAATATTTAAGATATGCCACGACCACTTGCTTGCAGGTCACTTTGGGGTATGGAAAACAACTGAACTTGTCCAAAGATCCTTTTGGTTGCCCAACCTGAGACAGGACTGTAAAGAGTATGTTAACTCCTGCACAACTTGTCTACACAATAAGGGCAGCCATACCAGAGCCTGGGGCTTGCTGAGACCCCTGCCAGTTCCTGAACAGCCTTGGAAGATGATTTCTATGGACTGCATTGAGGATTTACCTCCCTCTGAGGGATTCACCACCATCCTGGTGGTAGTGGATAGACTGTCCAAAATGGCTCACTTCCTGCCCATGGTGGGTACTCCTTCCCTTAATAAAACTGCTCACATACAGTTGCAAGAAAAAGTATGTGAACCCCTTGGGATTACGTGGAGTTTTGCATGAATTGGGCATAAAATGTGCTCTGAACGTCATCTAAGTCACAACAATAGAAGAACACAGTCTGCTGAACATAATACTACACAAACATTAGATGTTGCCATGGTTTAATTGCACATAACATGTAAACATTCACAGTGCAGGGAGGAAAAAGTATGTGAACCTTTGGACTTAATAACTGGTTGACCCTCCTTTGGCAGCAATAACCTCAACCAAACGTTTCCTGTAGTTGCAGATCAGACCTGCACAACGATCTGGAGTCATTTTGGACCACTCCTCTTCACAAAACTGTTTCAGTGTAGCAATATTCTTGGGATGTCTGGTGTAAATCGCTCTCTTAAGGTCATGCCACAGCATTTCAATTGGGTTGAGGTCAGGACTCTGACTGGGCCACTCCAGAAGGCGTATTCTGTGCTGTTGCAGCCATTGTTTTGTTGAATTACTTGTATGCTTTGGGTCATTGTCCTGTTGCATCACCCATCCTCTGCGGAGCTTCAGTTGGAGGACAGATGGTCGTACGTTTTCCTGCAAAATGTCTTGATAAACTCTGGAATTCATTTTCCCATCAATGATAACAATCCGTCCAGGCACTGAGGCAGCAAAGCAGCCCCAAACCATGATGCTCCCTCCGCCATGTTTTACAGTGGGGATGAGGTTTTGATGTTGGTGTGCTGTGCCTTTTTTCCTCCACACATAGTGTTGTGTGTTCTTCCCAAACAACTCAATCTTTGTTTCCTCTGTCCACAGTATATTCTGCCAGTAGTGCTGTGGAACATCCAGGTGCTCTTTTGCAAACTTCAAACGTGCTGCAATATTGTTTTTGGACAGCAATGGCTTCCTCCGTGGTGTCCTCCCATGTACTCCATTCTTGTTTAATGTTTTCCTTATTGTAGATGTGTCAACAAAAATGTTAGCATGTGCCAGAGATTTCTGTAGGTCTTTAGCTGACACTCTGGGATTCTTCTTTACCTCATGCAGCATTCTGCGCTGTGCTCTTGCAGTCATTTTTACAGGACGGCCACACCTAGGGAGAGTAGCAACAGTGCTAAACTTTCTCCATTCGTAGACAGTCTGTCTTACCGTGGACACATGAACATCAAGGCTTTTGGAGATACTTTTGTAACCCTTTCCAGCTTCATGCAAGTCAACAATTCTTGATTGTAGGTCTTCTGAGAGCTCTTTTCTGCGAGGCATGGTTCACATCAGACAGTGCTTCTTGAAACCAGTAAACCCAAAACAGGTGTGTGTTTTTTAAGGGCAGGACAGCTGTCAGCAACACATCCAATATCATCACACTGATTGGAGTCAAGGTTGGCTCACTCCTGGCTCCAATTAGCTCTGGGAGAAGTCATTAAGCTAAGGCCTCACATACTTTTTCCTCCCTGCACTGTGAATGTTTACATGTTATGTGCAATTAAACCATGGCAACATCTAATGTTTGTGTAGTATTATGTTCAGAAGACTGTGTTCTTCTATTGTTGTGACTTAGATGACATTCAGAGCACATTTTATGCCCAATTCATGCAAAACTCCATGTAATCCCAAGGGGTTCACATACTTTTTCTTGCAACTGTATTTATTAAGGAGATAGTAAGACTACACGGGATACCCAATAATATAGTTTCTGACGGGGGTACAATTTACGTCTCTTCTGCTTATCATCCACAGAGTAATGGGCAAATGGAGAGGAATAACCAAACTTTGGAGCAATACCTATGATGCTTCTCCACTTTCTCTCAGGATAACTGGGCATCTCTTCTTCCCTGTGCAGAATTCGCCTACACCAACTCTGTCCATGCTTCCATCAACCAGTCTCCTTTCTGGGCAAATTACGGTTTTCATCCTTCCTTCATTCCAGATGCCATTCCAGAAGCATCAGTACCTGCAGTCCAGAATAGGTTAACTTTCATACAATCCAATTACCAGATACTCCAGAGGACCATGCAAAAAGCTCAGGAGGATTACAAGAAACAGTTTGATAAAAGGAGGAGAGGTAACCCTGGGTGGAAGGTGGGAGACAAAGTGTGGCTTGCTACAACCAATCTCAAACTTGCCCTTCACGAAAACTAGGTCCCAGGTTCATTGGACCTTTCAAAATCAAAAGGGAGATTAACCCTGTGGCCTTCGAACTGGATTTACCCGACTCTTATAAGATTCACCCAGTCTTCCATGTTTCTCTACTCAAACCAGCCGTAATGTGCCCTATCCCTGGAAGAGAAGAACCACCCCCCTACCGCCAGTCTGGGTAGAAGAAGATATCGAGTTTGAAGTTGAAACCATCTTGGATGGTCAGAAAAGGGGGAGACAGATTCAATATCTGGTTAAATGGAAAGGGTATCCACTGGAGGATAGTTCCTGGGAACCAGCAAGAAATGTGCATACTCCTAAGCTGCTTCAAGAATTTTTTAACAGATTCCCTGAAAAACAAACCCCGCCTGGGCATCCAGAGGCTGCCCCTTGGGGGAGGGCACTGTCAGAGGAAAAGATGAGGAATGCGCAATATTGCCACGCCAATTCACGCAAAGAAGTACGCATGTGCATAGATGGGTGACACGTAGTAAGACATTCCTGTGCACGAAAACACACCAGCACACGCAGGGTGCACTAATTGCTGACACTCAGTGGCCTTTATAAGGACTGCAGCTCTGCTCAGTGATTGCTGGATTATCGTCAGCCCCTCCTGTTCCTGTGTCTACTGCTGATTACCCATTACCGACCCGGCTTGATCTTGACCTTGCTCCTGTCTGCTGCTCTGTGTATGACCCTGGCTTGATCCTGACCTTGCTCCTGTCTGCTGCTCTGTGTATGACCCTGGCTTGATCCTGACCTTGCTCCTGTCTGCTGCTGCTCTGTGTATGACCCTGGCTTGATCCTGACCTTACTCCTGTCTGCTGCTCTGTGTGTATGACCCCGGCTTGATCCTGACCTTGCTCCTGTGTGCTACTGCTCTGTGTATGACCCTGGCCTGATCCTGACGTTGCTCCTGTCTGCTGTTCCATATTGATCCTGGCTCTGGTTACTGACTACTCTACCCATCCTCCGGCATCCACGTGTTCTCTGGAGAAACACATCCTGCAACTGGAGCACCCATGGGTTCCATCTCATCAGGCATTTCCAAGCAGCAACACCACTGGCAACCCGTGCTTCTTTGGGCACTGCACCTCCTGTTTCCACCTCCAGGGGCACACTGCACTTAGCCGTAAGCGGAGCCCTCTCTCTATTACAGCCTTTGGTCAGGTACGTGACAGATGGCTTCCTTTCATACCATCCATTGTATACAAGTGTGTCTAGCTGTGAATGGTCACAGTGATCACATGGACAGGCTGGGCCAATCACAGCCAATCCAGTGGTGTATCTAGATTTTGCCTTCACAGCTCCGGAGGACATCCCCGGGAATGCATACATCATCAAGCAGCCCTCAGCCTCTCCCGGATCCCATCTGGTCCGCATGCTGCGTGTGCCCCTTCTTTCATCCCTTATTCTGGGGGGGGCATTGCTGCCCCCTTGAAAAATGCCACCCTAGGCAAATGCCTTGTTTGCCTTGTGGTAAATACGCCCCTGAGCCCATCTGTGTCATGTGATTAGCCATGGCCGTTCACAGCTAATCACAACTAAAAGACCTGATTGAATTTATTTCATTCAGTTAAATGCTTGCTTATAGCAAAGAAATTCTTCCTATAGGAAATCACATTGTGTAAAAAAAAACAAAAAAAACATTGATCACTTACTATGGTAACATTATACTACTTTGGTCTTAAGTGTAATATGAAAACAAATCTTAAAAAAAGAGAAAAAATGTAATTAAAAGATTGAAAACAAATTGAAAAAAAATTATCAATCTTTTTTTTGTACTGTCACCAGTCAGTGTCCCTGATCACTGCCACACAAGTTATATACTGGTGCTGTACTGCACTGGTGACAGCATGTAAAAAAAAAATTTGAAAATTATTTTTCTAATTTCTTCATTTTTCAAAAAATGATGACAAAAAAATTACAACTTCAAAAATCTCGCCATGCCTCTTATGAAATACATTGGACTGTCTACTTTGCAAAAAGGGGTAATTTGGGGGATATCTGTACTTATCTTACATTTGTGGGCCTCAAGAAATCAGACTGGCCTTCAAGACTTCAGGATTGATCAATTTTCACGTTGCTCACCTGCAAAATGAGGACAGGCAGCCAGCAAGTGGTTACATTTTTTTTTTTAAATCCTAAAATAATTCTCAACACAGTATTTATTAGTAATATTGTACTACTATGGGGGGGGGGGGTGATCAGGGATTTTTTTTTTTTACACTTTGCATTGCATGAGCAATGCTGATCATTGCAAAGCTTGTTTTGAACTGTCATGAATGAGTTAGATTCATGACAGTTCAATATAATAATGATATATAACTGGCTAGAGCTGGTCACGTGGGTACAAGGTGCTGTGATTGGACCTATGTATCATGTGACAGCTGTGAGCCAATCACAGCTCACCAGGAAGGGAAGCAGAGCTGTAATGAATCAGATTGATTCATAGCATCTTTGCTTACATTGTGATATAGCGATCACATGATCACCACGTCCCATTCACCGTAATCATCATACTGCGGTGTCCTTTTGGACACAACGGTTGTGGGTTGAGCGCTGCTCAAGCTCGCGGTGCCTCCCTATGTTAGTACAGCTAGAGCGACGTATGTCGCTTTGCCTGTTGCTGCCACCCATCCGCAGTACATTGCGGGCAGGTTGTCCTATATTTAAAAAGGGATACAAAGCTTTACCAAGTAATTATAGATCTGTTAGTTTAATTTCTATAGTTGGGAAGATACTGGAGAGTTTAATAAAAGACCACATAGATGAGTTCTTGCTGGAAAAAAAACTTAAGCAACAGACAGCATGGATTCATGAAAGACAGAAGTTGTCAAACAAATTTCTTTTTATGAGAAGGTGAGCAAAACCTTGACAGAGGGGTGGTGGTGGACGTGGTATACTTGGACAGAGGGGTGGCGGTGGACGTGGTATACTTGGACAGAGGGGTGGTGGTGGACGTGGTATACTTGGACAGAGGGGTGGCGGTGGACGTGGTATACTTGGAGAGAGGGATTGGTGGTGGACGTGGTATACTTGGACAGAGGCAAATATCTATATATCTTGCGAGCCAAACTATAACTACCAAATAAGCACCTTAAAGCACAAATCTGAACGAAATTTGTCCTTACTACTAATGGATCGCAAACATCCAACACATAACTACCACTGTGTGTTCATATTAATTTACCAAAGTGTGTTGCGCTCCTTATTAATTTATAATATCTCTTTATTACTTATAACCCCCTATTTATACCCTTAAAATTAATAATCATATATAAAAAAGTGATCTAATTTACAAAAAAAATTTTTTGCATGTTCATACCATTAACCAAAATTAAGTATTCATATATAATAATAACTTAATACCCAAAAAATTAATTCTGATTATAAAACCTCAATAATTCGTAATAATAATACATATCAGTGATTATAAAAATTAATTAACATTAAACCAATTGCACATCATTATTAGTAAAAAAATATAAATTTCAAAAGTAATTGTGAATAAACACTCATATATAATTAGTGTTATTAAAAAAAAGGAAGAAAAGTGTCCCATTAATCATAAAAATAGTGACTCTGTGCTTTATTTAATCTTCAATCCGTGACTGTTTGTGAATCCTCCAATTAGTGCAGATGTAACTAGATACTTGGACAGAGGGGTGGCAGTAGACGTGGTATACATGGACAGAGGGTGGCAATGGATGTGGTATACTTGGATTTTGCAAAAGCATTTGACACAGTTCCCCACACACGGCTAATGTGGAAGGTAAAGTCTACAGGCTTGAAAAAATCAGTATGAAAATGGATAGAAAACTGGCTAAAAGATCGTATTCAGAGAGTAGTGGTTAATAATTCATACTCTGAATGGTCTAGGGTTGTCAGTGGTGTACCCCAATGTTCAGTATTGGGACCCTTACTTTATAACCACCTCCTGCCCGCCATATAGTAATATGACGGGTGCAAGGTGGTTCTCTTGTTTCTGGGAGGACGTCATATGACGTCCTCCCATTCTCACCGCGCATGCGTGGCTCAGGGAGCGCGCAGTGCCGCGTTCAGCGGTGCGCTGTGTCCCTCAGACACAGCGGGTCACCGATCACGGAAAGAGCTCGGTCATGTGATCAGCTGTGTCCAATCACAGCTGATCACATGTAAACAGGGAAATGCCGGTTATCGGCATTTCTCTCCTCTCGAGCTGTCACGCTGACAGCTCGTGAGGTGAGGAGAGACGGTAATCAGCATTCCGCAGAGGGGACATGTACACTGGTCATCAGGGCACTGATGATCAGTGTGCCCTGATGATCAGTGTAGCCCCAGCAGTGCCACCTGTCAGTGTCCATCAGTGTCTCGTGCCAGTGCTCATCAGTCCCTCTTGCCAGTGCCCGTCAGTGCCACATCAATGCCACATATCAGTGCATACCAGTGCACATCAATGCTGCATATCAGTGCCCATCTGAGCTGCCTTTCAGTGTCACCCATCAGTGTCTGTCAGTGCCACCTATCCATCCCAATCAGTGCCACCTATCAGTGCTGCCAATCAGTGCCACCTATCAGTGCCAGTCAGTGCCGCCTAGCAGTGCCGAATAACAGTGCCAGTCAGTGCCTCCTATCAATGCTGCCTATCAGTGCTGCCTATCAGTGTCATGTATCAGTGCTGCCTTTCAGTGCCCATCAGTGATGTCTGTCAATGCCCATCAGTGCCACCTACCAGTGCTTCCTCATCAGTGCCCATCAGTGCCACCTATCAGTGTCCATCAGTGCAGCCTATCAGTGCCCATCACTGTAGCCTCATTAGCGCATATCAGTGAAGGAGAAAAAAAAAAAATCACTTATTTACAAAAATTGATAACAAAAACTAAGAAAAAACTTTTTTTTTTTAATTTTCAGTGGTTTTTAGTTTGTTTAAGAAAAAATAAAAAACCCAGAGGTGATTAAATACCGCAAAAATAAAGCTCTATCTGTCACAAAAAAAAATGATAAAAATTTCATATGGGTATAGTGTTGCATGACCACGCTATTGTCATTCAAAGTGCAACAGCACTGAAAGCTGGAAATTGGCCTGGGCAGGAAGGGGGTATAAGTGCCCTGTAGGCGAGGGGTTAATATACCTATAAACATTATAGGTTCTGGGATTATAAATCCTATTTCAGTCTTTGCAGATGACACCAAGCTGTGCAGTGTAATAACGTCCTTACAGGATGTCTTCAATTTACAAGCCAACCTCAATGCACTGTGTTTTTGGGCAACTATGTGGCAAATGAGGTTTAATGTCTATAAATGTAAGGTGGGGGCTAAGAATATGCATGCATTATACATACTAGGGGGGTACAACTGGGGGAATCAATGGTGGAGAAGGATCTGGGAGTTCTGGTAGATCACAAGCTTAATAATGGCATGCAATACCAAGCTGCGGTTTCTAAAGCGAGCAAAATCCTCTCTTGTATTAAAAGAGATATAGACTCCAGAGAGAGAGAGATCATATTACCCCGGTACAAATCATTAGTAACACCTCATCTGGAATATGCAGTTCAGTTTTGGGCACCAATTCACAAGAAGAATATTGGGGAACTGGAGAAAGTGCAGAGAAGAGCAACCAACCAAACTGAAAAGAGGCATGGAGGAGCTCAGCTATGAGGAAAGATTAGAGGAACTGAATTTATTCTCTCTTAAAAAGAGGAGATTAAGGGGGATATGCTCAACATGTATAAATACATCAGTGGTTCATATAGTGTAGAGTTATTCACCTTGAGGTCATCACACAGGACAAGGGGGCACTCTTTACATCTGGAGGAAAAGAGATTTAATCTCCAAATACGGAAAGGTTTCTTCACAGTAAGAGCTGTGAAAATGTGGAATAGACTCCCTCAAGAGTTGTTTCTGGCCAGCTCAGTGGATTGATTTAAAATAGGCCTGGATTCTTTCTTAGATACACAGAATATAACTGGATACTAACATTTATAGGTAAAGTTGATCCAGTGGATAACCTATTGCATCTTGGGGGATCAGGAAGGAATTTTTTCTCCCCTACAGGAGCAAATTGGATCACGCTTTGCTGTTTTTTTTTTGCCTTCTGCTGGATCAACTGTGGGTATAGGATTATAACTTTTTTTACACTAAATAAAAACACTACATTTTACACAGAAGTTACAGTAGATTAGCACATTTAACTCTTTGATCACCTCGTCACCCAGCCAGTGCCATTAGTACAGTGTCAGTATATAGAATTTTTCATTGATCACTGTATTACTGCCACTAGTGACATCAGATAGCATCAGGGTCATTTAGCAACCCTCTCAGCCAGGGTCAGCTAGCGTTGGATTGCCCGCACACTATCGCACTCACAATATAGGTTGCTGATCACCGCCATTTGTAGTATTGTGTTTGTACGGATAAATATTTTGATCACGAACAGAGCTATACTAGTGCCTCCTTTGTATAGTGTCCCCAAAAATGCAGTGTTCTCAGGAACAGGCCCATTAGCTGCCAGCACTAGCATTTAGCCCCTCCACTGTTTTTCATCAAAGATTTATATCAGTCAATTGTGGGCCAAAGCAGTTTATACGCAAAACAACACATGGCCACCCACCCAAATTCAGCTCTTGCCAGACAATTTGCATGGAAAACCAATCATGGAAACATATCACGGTTTCTGAATTAAAAAACGTTTTTTAAACCTGACCCTCACCATGGGCATTACAAAAAAGAATGAATTGCGGTCATATTGGTCCACAGACCCGATTCATCATATGCCCGTGTTCCCTGCTGTTACATATATCCCTAACAAGAGCCAGCACTTCACTGGACTACAGCTGGTGGTCGGCTTTCATGTAAAAGCAATCCTAGTGACTAATTAGGTGCAGGATTGCTTTTACAAGCAACAAGAAGGGACATTACCCCCCCCCCCCCCACTGCCTTCCTGCCTTCTGTGACTTTCTCAGGCTCTCCCATCTCATAGGAGAATCTGAGAATGCAGCCGGCTGACCATAGAGCTTATCGGAGACCAGAATGGCTCCAATCATCTCTATGGTCTAAGAAACCAGAAGCTACGAGCATTGCATCATTTCCGTTTCACCAGATATAAACAGAGCCATTTTAAAATTGGGAAAGCATCCGATCACAACAATCTTGGTTTGATCAGATGCTTTAAGGACAGAGGAGAGTCCAACAGACCTTAGATTTCTCAGAATAGATTATCAGTCACTTCCTATTGCTATTACAGAGGACATTTACATTCCCAGTGATAACAATAAAAGTGATCCAGAAAAAAAAGACAGTGTAAAAAAAAAAACAAACTCTAAATTAACAAAAAAAAACAATTCCCCACCCCCTTCTTCCCGTGCTCACATGAAAAAGGTGATCATCAGTTTTGTGTCAGTATGTAAACAGAGATTGCATCATGCATGTGAGGTATCAGATCAAAGGCAGTAATTCTAGCACTAGATCTATGTAAATATAAAGTGGCTTTTAAAGCCACACCTATCGATATTAGAAATATAAGTAGTTTGATGCCGTTGCACGGGCATACACAATTTTAAAGTATGTCATGTTTGGTATCTATTTACTCGGTGTAACGTCATCTTTTATATTTTATTAAACAATTTGAAAATTTAATTTTTTCAAAAAAATTAGCGTTTGAAAAATCACCTCAAAAATACTGTGTGACTTAAAAAATGTAAACACCCACCGTTTTATTTTCTAGGGCCTCTGCTTTAAAAAAAATATAGAATGTTTGGAGGTTCAAAGTATTTTCTAGCGAAAACACAGTTTTTTTTATGTAAACAAAAAGTGTCAGAAAAGACTTGGTCTTCAAGTGGTTAGAAGAGTGGGTGTGGCAGAAGCTTCAAATGTTGGCCCTGAAATGCCAGAATAATAGAACCACACCCCTCTCCCAAATGCCACAAGTTTTTCTGAAAATAAGAAAAGAACATTTTTTTTTTCTTTTTCAAAATCCTGTGACAAAAATATCTGCAAAATACTCACCATGCCTCTTATCAAATTCCTTGGATTGTCTACTTTCCACAAAGGGGTCATTTGGGGGGGGGGGGGGGGTTGTACTATCCTGTTATTTTTAGGGCCTCAGAAACTGCGATAGGTAGTGAGGAAGTGATATGAGGAAATATGCCCTTTGAAAGCTGGAAGGTAGTCATTGGATTTTAGGGGCCTGTATGTGGCTAGGCTGCCAAACAGTCTTTCACATGTGGTATCCCCATCTCCGGGAGAAGTAGCAGAATGTGTTTTGGGGTGTTATTTCACATATAGCCATGGCATGAGTGAGCCATATATAATTTACAATACAACTTTGTGTAAAAAAAATGTATTGGTAATTTTTGGCAAAAAATAAAATCTTCCAAAGACTCAACATGCCTTTTGGCAAATTCCTTGGGGTGTCTACCTTCCAAAAAGGGGTCATGTGGGGGTTTTTTGTACTGCCCTGGCATTTTAGCATTTCAAGAAATGCAATCAGAAAATAAAAGCTGTGTAAATTCCAATATACAGTATATACCATAGTTTTCTAGCTGCTGTAACTTTCATGCAAACCAATTAATATACACCTAGTTGAAATTTTTTCTACAGATAACAAGCTGAGATTAGAAGCAGTCTCTTAAAGGGAGTGCTGCCAATCTCCTTTTGTTACCTGTGTAAAAGACACCTGTCCACAGAACCAATCAAACAATCAGATTCCAAACTCTCCACCATGGCAAAGACCAAAGAGCTGTCCAAGGATGTCAGGGACAAGACTGTAGACCTACACAAGTCTGGACTGTACTACAAAAACTATCGCCAAGCAGCTTGGTGAGAAGGTGACAACAGTTGATGCAATCATTCTGTCAGGGATCCTGCCACCGTGCAGTGGTGCGACAGCAACGGTCCCCTCGAATCGTGGCGGTGCGAGTGCGCAGGCGCGGGAGCGTGCGGCTGCGCATGCGCAGTAGCGTGAAAAAATTCACGCATGTGCAGTAAGCGCACACCTCATGTCAGGCGGGGCTATTTAAACCTGCTTAGTAGTAAAATCATTGCCTTCTGGTCTACAACGTTCCTGAACATATTCCTGATCCCGATACCTGTATTCTGCATTACCTGACTAAGAAAGAACTCCGCTTGCACTGACCCTGGCTATCCCTGACCATTCACTTGCCTGCTCCTTTTGTACTTTTTCTGCTCTCTTGATACTGACCCGGCTTGTCTGAGTCTGCTACATTATGCTGCCTGCACCTGCATCTGACCCGCATCTTGTCGGCTACCATACTCACCTGCCGCTGCACACACGGTTCTGCATCTGGCCTGCATCCGGGTCACTGCCTTACCTGTCTGCTACTGCATCCAACACCAGTGCCCGGTCCCAAATCCGCACCCTGACTGCCGATACACCTGCATGCTACTGAACCTACATTCCTGCACCCGCACCTGGCTTGTGTACAGATCTCCTGGGTCCCCAGCTACCTGCCGTCAGCTTCAGATCTACACGGCACTCCTGCCACTCCTGGCTCTGCGCCCTCTGTTCCTATCATGGGCACCGAGCTGGAGTTGTAAGAGGATGCCCTCTCTCCACGTCAGGCTCTCCAATCAGGTACGTGACACATTC